GATGGGAAACTAAGCTTTGAAAGCAACATTTACATTTTCTGTGTAGTCTAAATGTCTGTCTCCCTCAGTCTCCATCAACATGAGTCCTCCTGTATCCTGAATTACTCTCTAATGGGAGGAAGAGGGACTACTGTTCCAGTTTCCTCCAGCTTCTATCTGTGAGCACCACAGAGGGGAGGAAGTTGTGTAGAGATTCATGGAGGTGGGGGTCTGGCCAGGTTACAAACCCGTATACAAATCCAGGACATCTGGACAATGGATACAGCCGAGGGACAGCAATACACCCCAACCGTCTTGTGTGCGGGTCCCACACTCTGAACAATACACTGATGGCACAGACTAATTATTTGGCCATTTTCCAAGTTAACGTTAAGCACCAACTTATTTGGTGGAGGACTGAATTTGATCACACTTAAAAGGGTAACCAAAGAGATCATGGCAGGGGCGACAGGTGGCAGGAGGACCTGTAACCATCACCTCAGAACGAGTATACACCTGGTACTAGGAACCTTACAAGACCCCAGACACTGACCTGCAAGCATCAGAGGATGATGGATACACCCAAGGGACAGCAATACACACCAAGGGTTTAATGAATAGCAGAGACCCACAGAAAAGCGTATTTGAGCTCTGCTAATTTGAGGCCAATCCTACATAAACAGTGTCATGTTCCAGTTACTCAGGACACACAGCCAATAGTAAGCCACCAGAGCAGCAAGAAGAGGCCAGGCCTGGAAGGAATGTGGCTAAAGGTCCCTTGTGCACACGTGCCCTGGGGTGGGGCCAGCCCCGCCTTGTTCCCACAGTGGCGCTCCCTCTGCTTATCTGCCCAGAACCAGTTGCCCTCGGTCCCACAGCAGAGTGGGCTGGGCTCTGTCAAGGTGGCAGGCAGACCAGAGCCTCTGCCTGGAGGTGGAGTGGAGAAGGGGTCACAGTCCTAAGACCCCTTCTGGAAGCAACTTGAAAGGGCAGGTGCAGGAGAAGGAAACCACTCTGTTTTTCCTTTTTGAATAAACTGCTGTCCTTTGGCTCAGGGGTAGACCTGTCGGGACATACTATTTTGTGGTACTCATCTTGCATCTACAGCCAGCTGTTTGGGGCTGAGCAGGGAGATGGCTACTACAAATCTGGAATAGGCGCATTTTCAATACTAGAACAGTACCTGGGGACAGAGCCCTGGATGCCCAGCAGAGAGAGAAGGTAGCCTCCATCCTGCCTGGGGCTGCAGCAGCACGGCAGGGGAGGAGCTGCTTTCTTTGTTCAGAGGGAAGTTAGGAGGTGCAGTGGCCAGCCACAGCTAAGTGCCCTGGGAAGAGAGCTGTCAGAGGTGACCAGGGCCTGGTGAGCCTTCTGCAGAACAAGACTGGGCAGGCTCCGCAAGCTGTGGGCTGAGACTGCTGTCCAGGCAGTGCACCTTCTGCTGCTCAGGGGCCTTGTGGTTGTGGATGGGTCCTAACGCATTGGTGAAGACAGCAAGGTGCTTCCGTGTCCTCTGTGGGCAACCCTCAGGGCTGCTGTCACCCCTGGGGGATGAGGCTGTATGTCACTTGCAGTGGTCCAAATTGCCATCAGGAGTCCTTGCTTGGTCAGCAGCCAGGGATGCCTCCTCGCTGTGCCAAAGCCCATAGCCAAAGTAGATGGCAAAGCCTGCAGACCAAGAGCAGAGAGCATTGAACAGAGCAGGTGGGGTCCAAGGAAGCAGGTGGAGCAGCCCAGGGCCTGGCAAAGCCTCACCATGCTGCCTGCCCTGAGTTGAGCCCACACTCTCTACACTTAAAGAAACAACATGACTCTTCAAACAGGGCCAACAAAGGTGACCCTCTGGAGAGCCTCACACCAGGGAAGCTCCTAAAGCAGGGGGAAGAACTCAGGTGGGGGGCCCTGGTTTCAGCTTCATCCACTGACCACCTGGTCAGTGGCCGCCAGACGGGGGCAGAACAGACACAGGAAGCTAGGCTGCTCCCTGCCAGGGCAGGATCTCCATGCTGTCTACACAGTCCCGGCTGCTTGTTTTCTCTGGGCAAGAGACGTCCCACTGCAGGAGGCATTTGGGTCACCTGGGAATGTATGTACCATAGGAATCAGTCCGGTCCAGTGCTGAGCACTCCAAAGTCTGTGGATGGGTCCAGAGATCTGTGCTTCTAACTACTGTCCAGGGACCATGGCCCATGTGGCCCTGGGGCCACCCTTATGCTGGTGACATAAGAAGAATGGGCCTTCAAGGAAGAAGCCAGGAGCTTACACCAGGGATGCTCAGAAGCAGGCCCTGCACCTCTGGCAGGAAGCAAGCGCTTAGCACCGCAGTCTCTAGAAATGGCCACAGTAGGCTGAGTGCAGACTGAGCCAGTTCTCTCACAGAAAGGCTCTACGGTAGATGCCTGTCCAGCTAGACATAGGCTAGACTTTGAGGGGTGTGAGGGGTCTGCAGAGAGCAGGGTAGCAGAGTACCACCCTAAAGATGGTACAGCAGCAGCCATCTACTCCAAAGTGTGGCAACCCAGGACTGAGAGGTTTAGCAGAACCTCGTCCTGAGATTTCTGCTCTTGTCAGGAACACTGAGGGACATAGGTCGAGGCCAGGCTCCCCTATACCAGCAATCAGCCTGGACACTGAGGAAGAAACCTGAATCCATCTCCTTCAGCCCCCCCAGAGGCAGAGGCCCAGAGAGAGCCCAGGTCACGGTCGGTCCGAGATAGGACTAGCACTCACAGGGTGACACCCAAGCCTCTGCAGGCCCTGCCAGTGCCCATAGCCCACGTGGAAAGGTGAGGTCCCAACATTCCACTGGGGGTGAAACAGACTATGCTTTATTGACAGCAGACTTATATCCTTGTTCTTGTTAACCTCAAGCTCTTGCCCAATGACAAAACTAGTTCAGGCAAGAGGCTATTAAAACGAAAAGTACCTGAAAGAGAGGAAAGGACCCACAACCTACCAGGAGCTCCTTGTTGTTTGAGAGAAAACTGCTGACTACCTGTGTTTACACAGTGTTTTGAACTCTGAACCGAGGAACGTTCAAAGACATTAGCCATCCAGCCAAGTAGCAGAGATGTGAGTGAGCAGCAGGAGTGGGGAGGCCTCAGGAGACACTGGAGTATGGGACACGCTGGGCACAGCAGAACCAATGACCTGACCTACCTATCAGCATCCACACTGCAAACCGGACCCATGTGCCTTGGTCCAGCTGCATCATGAGATAAACATTCACGAAGATGCTCAGGACTGGAAGGACAGGTAGGAAGGGCACCTACAAAGACACAAGGAGGCAGTGTCAGATCTGATAGAGCGGAGACAGAGCTGGCACTTGTTTGCGTCATTTAGCAAAACTACCTAGAAAACATGGACCACTGAGATTAATACAGACTGCCATCTTTATATGGGGAAGAGGAAGTGAGTGCCAATCCCACCCCTGTGGCCCCAACCCCCTCCAACACAAATGCACCCACATGCAGGCAAATCCTAACAGGTGGGAGCTTGGGTCTTAGCAGCCAATTGCCAAAGTAAGCTCTATTCTTATTTTCCACTCCTGCTATTTCCCACTAAGGACAGGCTAAAAGAATTCCACTTTACCACTAAGGTTGAACTATTCCATTATTTGTATAACCTACAAGTGCAGAGGCCTTGGTCACCCCTGAGGCTTGGTGATGATACACAATCCACCTGGATGGCATTTGTGAGAAGCCCCTGTGGGTGAGGTGGCACTACACCACCTGAGAGCCAGGGTCAGGCCCCCAGCAGGCACTATCTGCGCCCATGAGTCCATATTCCCTTGAGGTTGGCCAGCAAGCACCTCCCACCAGACACCCAGGCCTAGGGGAGACCATGCAGGGTCTTCCCATCAGGTGGTTCCCTGCAGACCCACCAGGCAGAGCTGCTCACCTTAAACGAGAGCTTGGTCTTGCTCTCGGGCTGTCTCCAGATGATGACTGTGACCACTGAGCAGAGGAGGGCAGAGACAATGAGCGCAAAGATTGCCCACAACTCCCCGTTTGCCAGAGCCTTCTTTCCAAGCACAGTCACGATGCAGAAGATGATGATAAGACTTGCTGAGACAGAGAGAGGGAGAGAGGGGATGCAGCTCAACCATTTCTCAAATTCCCATGATATCCTCAGCTCTCCTCAAAACCTATGGAAAGGGAGGCTCTATTTCTGTAGGCATCACCTACAATGAGGACAGAATAACTGACAGACAGCACAGTCCAGCAGCAGGACAGATGCGTATCCCTTCTGGCACCCACCCCCATACCCAGTGACAAGAAACCATGCAATGCCAAGAAGCAGGACCCCAGACACATTACAGGGAAGGGCAGGCTCTTACCTATGAGGCTGGTTGAAATGTTCACAATTAGCCCAGAGAATTTGGAGGGCTCCATGTTTTTGGGTGCAAGTATGGTTTTCAAAGAAAACTCTTCTGCTTCTGGTAAAAAGCCTGTCTGGGAATCGCTGGTGCTCACCAGTTCATGCTGGTCTACTTGGTCCAGCTCCTCAGTAGTTCTGGCCATCTGGTATACCATGTTAGGTTGCTCTGGCTGATACCTGCACACAAATGTGACCAACATGATAGGCTTTCATTAAGCAAAAGAACAAGCAATAATACACATTCTTAGTAAGCCTTCAACGGTTAAATTGCCCAGGACATAAGGCATCAAATGGGAAGAAGATGGTCACAATAACGTCTTCTCTGGCAAAGCAGAAACAGAGGAGGAGACCTGGGTCTTCGCCTTCTGCTCCTGCTTTTGGCAACACCCTCCTTGGTGTGTCTGTTATGAGACAACTTGACTTCCACCATAGACCAGCCCAGAGAAATGTCTTGAGATGGTTTCCCTGGCTCTGAGAAGTAGCACTAGCCCTTGGAAGCTTAAGATATTAGGCCACTACCAACAAAACTAGGCCACAGGGCACTAAATGCACAGACAGAAATAGAAAGCAATAACATTAGGGTCCTACGTGGAACAAAGAGCTGGAGATATGTGTCTGCAGGCTGATGGCTTTGAGATCTTGTTTGTGAGACTTAATTGGATCAATTTATTTTAAAACTACAATGCCTTGGTATAAATAAATCTACAGAGCTGGGTGAAGGACTCAGCCTGTGGCATGATTTCCAAGATTCAAGCTAACCTGCAAATGGAACAGTCATTTTAAATGAGGCTCCTTATCCTCCTACCCAAAGTGAATGGAGCTCAAATCTTTTTCACTAGTCTTGAAAATCAGGGTGCCTTATGAATTACTTTGCATACAGTCTAAGAATATCTAAGCATAAAGTATTCGCCATATTTTCACTGATTCAGTTCATGTAATACCATTAGGTCAATTATGAAAGTGGTGGGACCTTGGACAAGATTCTAGCATTGAGCCTTTGGGAAGCAATAAGTGGTAGGAAGACTAGCAAACTAGTTTTAGCTGATTCTACACAATCACTACCAAGGCTCAACTCAGGTTTTATACACGTTAGCTGCTGAGTACATTAGAAATGGGATCAGTAGCCTTGCAAGTAGAAATACTTAAAAAGAAACAAGGAGGCTCTTGCCAGGTGACCAACACCAAGAGTCTTCATGAGTACATGTTCTCATGATGAACTCCTCAGGCCATTTCTGGGACTTGGGAAGCAGAGCCCTGTCCTTCTAGAGCAAAGGAAAACAGGCGCCCAGAGGTATGCTTTGGAGGGGGTGCCCTGGAGTAGCCAAGACCCCAAGCCTAAGCCTGAGGCTGCTTTGTTACTGCCAGCACCTGGAAAGTCTTTCTGAATGTCAAACTCAGCCACCCCACACCATATAATGGGACTCCTTTCTCCAGCGGCAGTGCACTAAAACATCACAGTAACCTGCATTTCAAAGGTCATCACAGTGACCTAAGTTTCACTGGACTCTCCCAGCTCCCGCCAGGGCCAGTCCCCAGTCTCCTCTGTCCCAAGAAGCTGAAACACACTGAAATCATTACCCAAGCCTTTAAAAAATCTGATTCCAGGATCTAGGCCCAGCAGTTGGGCTGAGAACCTGTCTCTATTCTCCCAACATTCAGCCAGAAAAATGAGGGCATGTGATAAGAGGGTGATGGGGTCAACCCTGACTCTTTTCAAGGATATTCTCTCTAACTAGGCTCTCAACCACCATATCCCACCCTCTCCTGGGCACTTCCCAAAGGAGTTATTAACAGCCTAAAGTTTACACTGTATAAACCATTAATTTGAACTGCTAAGAGGCTAGCAGGGTTCATGTGCATTTCTGTCACAGGACCCAGAAAAGCCATACATACCGTAAGACCAACACACAGGCAGCCACCAAAGAGTAAGCCAAGAGGGTGCCAATGGACATGAGGTCCACCAAGTCCTTCAGGTCAAAGAGGAAGGCCATCACAGCTGGGGAGGAGACAAACATCAGGATCCACAGATGGCCCTCAATACATACTGACATCCAGAAACACCACCCACCTGTGATCCAAAGCATACAAGAGGTGCTGTGTGCGAGGACACACCCCCAGCCCTTTCCATGGAAAGATGCTTAAAGGAAGGAAAACTCAGGATTAAATCACATACACAGTCCTCAACGGGTAGTAACTTTGCAGCTATCCCTACATTACAGATGGAAAAACTCAGTTCAGACAGGTTGGGAGAATCATCTAAGGTCACACAGCCAGTAGGTAGAAACTCAGAATTTGAAATAGGTTCCTGTGACTCTGAGTTTAGTGTTTCTTCCTCTACATTATGCTGACTCATACACAAATCACATACATCTATCTACCCACCCATCATCCACCCATCCGTCCGTCCATCCATCCATCCATCCATCCATCCATCCATCCATCCATCCATCATCTATCCATCATCTATCTATCCATCCACTCANCCTATCATCCACCCATCCGTCCGTCCGTCCATCCATCCATCCATCCATCCATCCATCCATCCATCCATCCATCCATCATCTATCCATCATCTATCTATCCATCCACTCATCCAGCCTCCCCCAAGCACTCATTGGGCATGGTGTACACCACTGAAGAGGTAAGAACAGTCTCTGCATATCATCCAAAACACATGCATCGGTCAGCAATGGGGACGAGGAGGCAGGTGAGGCTCCTGACCCAGACAGCTGAGCATGGAAAACAGTGTTGTTCCCACACAATTTCAGTCCCCTCACCACGACAACACTTAAAAAAAAAAATAACACATACATGCTTACTTGAAAATTCTCTGTACTTTTTGTGCGTGTGTGTGTATGTGTATTTATGTGAGTATATAACTCATTTCTCATTTTAACATTAACTTGGCTAGGTCTGTTTTGGGGTATTTTCAAATCATTCACAACCGAGACAAGTTAAAACAAACACAAAACCATTGCTTTTCCCCAAATACTTCTCAAGCCCCTCTAAATCACTGCAGCTAAAACAAATGTAAATTGTGAAAAGTGATAGAATTTAGGAGCAGAGAGGACTTTCTGGATAAATAAAACAGTGACCAACTATGTACACTACAAACGCCAGCGTTCCCGCTCAAAAAAATAGAAACAAGCTTCTTCAATGTGAGGTGATTTTAGAAAACCTAATACTTATTTACACTCCCACCAAATAAAAAGAAAGAGTAAGTCCTTGGTTTAGTGAATGTACTTTGTAGTCACTCTAATGATTACAGTTTCATCTCCCTTAATTGGCACAGGAAGGAAATTAAAGCCAGTCTTTAATATAATCAAATTACATGTAAATACTGAAAAAAATCTTCACTGTTTCCAATGCATTAATCCCTTAAATATATTGATTGTATTCTTTTCTTTAAGTTTTTATTTATTGATTTTTTAGAGAGAGAGGGGAAGTGGGGGTGAGAGAGAGAGAGAGATCTATTTGTTGTTCCATTCATTTATGCATTCATTGCTTGATGCTTGTATGTGCCCTTACCAGGGATCGAACCCGCAACCTTGGCATATCGGGATGACCCTCTAACCAACTGAGTACCCAGCCAGGGCCTATACTGGTGTTATTTTTATATGTGGTGTCCTTTCACCTGACCACTGGGATCACTCTCAAGGATGTAGTATTACAGCCTTGGCCAGTGCTGCCGAAGGGTTAGGTTCGGCCGCACTCATACCTGGGTTGCAGGTTCAATACCCACCCTTGATGGGGCGCCCGTGAGAGGCAACCAATCGCTGTATGTCTCTCACATCGATGTTTCTACCTCCCTCCCCCCCTCTCCTCCTCCTTCCCTCCCACTTCCACTCTCTCTAAAAATCAATGGAAAAAATATCCTCGGATGAAGATTAACAAAAAACAAAACAAAACAAAATAAAAAAGAATACAGAACTATAGGACAAATTTGGTAAATAATAAAAAACTTGCTTTCTTCCATTATATAATATTAATCCACAAAAACGAAGCACACTGTGCTAAGGGCATAAATACTACTAATAACAACTCATTCATTTAAAACGGTCAGATGGCCACTTGACAAGTCCCTGTAGCACAAACTAAATGGTGTCATGTGTCCAAATTTACCAAAAGACCCGCTGCTCTACTCACACCCTGGAAGGAGCCAGACTCTTTGGCATAAAAATGAACCAGGAACCACAGGCCAGCTCTACACTATGTGTTTGCATCCTGCCTTCACCTCTCCATGCCACCACCTCTGTACAGTGGGATCACACTGCCTCTCCAGCTACAAAAATGCAATCATTAAAAGGGGAAACTTATACAACAAACAGCATGCGGTGCAAATTAAGTTTCAGCCCCCCGGG